AAAAAACCAGGAAAAAACGGCGTATATTATTCTCAATGTAGGCCAATTTTTTTTATACGAGTTTTTAATCCAATGAGTTATATATACAGATCGACATAGTTTTTCATGCTCTATCCTAATAAAGTTAATAAGCAACATAAAGCCTCGAAATTCATTTTTGAAAAATCAGAAATAGCATTGGCAGCATCCATAGGAATCCATTTTAATTTTTTTGCACGTTTAGTTTTCATGTTTTCGACATAATTTCTAATTTTGTTTGTTTCATCGGCGAGCTTTAACATTTTTTCAGCAATTTCGTTGTCATGGCTTGTACCTTGTATAAAAACAAGACGATGACACTTGATCATTGCACAAACAATTTGAAAATGATCTCCTGTTTTCTCGATCATACCATTTGGAATGATTTTATTGAAAAATTGCCATTTTTTGACTCGGCCATTTGCCGATTCAATAACCCAACGTATTTTTGTAATGAATCGTGTTTGATTTGCTTTATTTGTAGTGAATTGCGATTGATCTTTCTTGAGAAAACAAGGCATTTTAGGTTTATAACCGAATTTTTCCAAGTCCGATATACAATAACGAAATCCTCGATCTACAATAACAAGATCTTCTGGATGCAGCCAATCCGTAAATCCCTGCTTATTGTTATAAATAATGTTCTTGGTAATTTCAGCATCGTTGTTGCGCCCATCAGCCAAATAGGGTCCCATTACTGATATAATGTAACCATCACTTGATACAATCATCATCGGTTTGACTAATGGTTTTCCTTTATGAAGTGAATATGCTCGACGTTGTAGTAAATTGTTAGCCGACTTCTGGGTATAACAGTATATTCCGTCAAGGATTATTAAAGCCTTGTTAGGATCATTATCACCTAAAAGAATTTTTGCAAGTGGTCGAGTGTGATTGTCGATCACCTTTTGTCTCTCAATATGGTCAAATCCTAAATGTTTAGGAACAAAGTATCTTGTAATGGCAGTACAGCCACTGTCAAGAATTCTGGTCATTTTACGTTTATCTTCACCAGAGAATAAAGTACATAATGTTTGATGACTTAAACCAAGTCTTAATTTGACTAGAAGACAAACAATAGCTGTTCTTGGTGATCTAATATCAGTATGTCTCAAGGCTGAAGGAGGTATCTCGGAACAAAGATCGTTAAACTGATCACGAGTTAATCCAGTCAACACATGATAATTTGCATCTGACATTGATGTGTCATCATCATTATAATTTAATGGTGGATTTTGATTCGATTCATTGGTTTTACAATCTTTAGTTTTTAATTCTTCTTTCATTTCATTTAAGATTATCATTAATTCATTTCTTTTGATTGTACAATAATTTAATTGATTCTGTTTAATGTTTTGGATTAAGTTTGTTTTAAGCATTCAGTGTTATGACTCGAGCAACATCTGCTTCCAGTCGGTATATATATAATAATCCAATAAACATTGCACACGTATGCTTTGATTAATTTCTTGAGAAGTATTTTTACCAGAAAAATTCTTTTCATATATCGAAGATTTTTTATGAGACTTGGATACTCGATAAAAAGGTAATTCGATAGAAGTCTTTACCAATGAATCAGTAAAATTCGAAATAGCTGTTGAACATGATGTAGAAGGATTAATACTAAATACTGTGTTAGAACTAGTTGCTGTTATTCCAAATTGATTCATAGTGGTATCTGTGAGAAACTCTGTCTGAGTGCCTACATCAGTTTTTTGCAGATCGATATCCATTATCGTTTGATCATCTTGATTGTGTGTTGTTTCAATTGCAGCATTTCTTTTATTATTATGATATAATTCCATATAACACGCATTATGTAAATAGAGGTGAATTAATTTATTTGCCGTTGCAAAGTCGTATACAGTTTGGTAATTTTCCAATGAACGTATTCTTTCTTTATCACGAAACGTTTTTTCACACAAACAACCCGAATGTTTATTTGATTTCTCTATTGAAAAGTGTTGAGAAACTAATAGCTTGACAAATGTTGGCACCTAGAAGTAAAAGATAGTCCCACTAGGACTGTTGGGTTTGAGATTTGTAAGAAAAGTCGATTAATCTAGGCTGATTATTTTGTTTTCAGTCAGTAAATTAACCAGGTAGAGTGCCAAGTTTGAAATGCCACAGTTTAATAATTTAGTAACTTTTGATTCGAAGATAGTGCTTAAGAAGCAGGAGAATTAAAGTTGTATCGTTTTAAAAGAGTATCTCAGCGGGATCCTCCCGACCTATCGACAGAACCAGATTCGGCCCTTCCCAGAGACCTCCTCATAGGGATTTGCAAGAGAGTTTTTCAATTTTTTTAAGTTTCAAGGTCATATTCGGATAGAGCATGAAAAACTATGTCGATCTGTATATATAACTCATTGGATTAAAAACTCGTATAAAAAAAATTGGCCTACATTGAGAATAATATACGCCGTTTTTCCTGGTTTTTTCAGTTTTTAGCCAAATAAACTGAAATTATACGTCTGTTAGGCCCTCAATCTGTTTGAAATTGATGGAACAATCGTTTCTAGATATGTATAAAGTATTATTGCTATTATAAACTGATTTTTAGAGTTGAAAGACAGTGATTTCTGAACAAAGGTAAATAAATTACCTTTATCAAAGGAGGCAGTTTTTTCACTCAAATCACATTTTTATGCAAAACAAACCTTATATTCGTGATCAGCGTGGTCGATAACCTATGTCTAGATGAAATTAGCGTGAAAAACAAAAACAAAAGGATTTTTTTTCCCTGTGGGGTAGCACGGCAAAAAAAAAGTTGAAAAAAATAAAAAGTTATTTTTTTCAAAAACAAATATACCGTTTTGTTCAGAATTTAATGCTGATTCTAATCATATAGTTTTTTTCTCTAAACGTTTTGGGTGAAAAAATGACCTTACCGCCGCTTGTCCTTTTAAGAAGTCATTCTTCTTGGTGAAAAACAGTAAATACCGTTTTTCCCCATGAAGATCGATTTGTACAAAGTTGAGTCTGGCAGATAAAGTTTAGGAAAATAAAGTTGTTACATTTTTGTCTCGAAACTCAACTATGAAAAACTCTTCTTTCATAATATAGCCAAAAGAGCGACATTTGCGATTTTTCGCGATGAAGTTTTCTAAAGTGGAATCTAGAAACGCAAATGTAGCAAGTTTAGTTTCCTAAATTGTATCTGCCAGGCTCAACTTTGTAAAATCGATCTTCACGGTGACGAACGGTATTTACTGTTTTTCACCAAGAAGAGCGATTTCTTAAAATTGGGTCCCAACACACAAAATTTAGAAAATTAAATTTGCCACACTTTACGTTCGAGACATAACTCTCAAAAAAGCTTTTTTTCGGACGGAAAATACGGGAAGCAGAAAAGTATTACTCTCTCGCAGGTTCGAATATGCAAAAGGGTTGTACTTTTCTGCTTTCTTACTATTCGTAGTAAAATCAATTTATAATTTTCTTCAAGTGCTCTTATCGTTAAGAGCTACGGTTTTAAAAATTCTGCTAAATGCTCGACACCTAAAAAGCAATGGATTTAACCTAACTGATAACCTCCCTGTGTTTAATCTATTTGATACCAGGAACTAGCTTGACCGGTCGGTTAAATGAGCGGTAGGAGCTAGATCAGACAGAGCTAGCTCGATCGGTCGGTTAAGAAGTCGATTAACTTAGTGATAACCTCCTCAAAAAAAGTAAGCTGAACCGCCCGGCCCTTGGTTTAAACTTTTTGAGGTGGAGCTAGCTTAACTAGGTCGAAAACCGTGTTGTCCAGCTCCATTTTTTTTGCTTAGGTGTTGTTCGCTGTTGCTCTTAGAATGATTAGAATGATTTTATTAAGACCTGAGAAAGATTTGGTTTACATTTGTCTAAGATCTTAGAGAGGTCTTACTAAGATTATGTTGCCTAAAGATTTTTTCGAGGTTGGGTAAGAATCTGATAGGATCTTAAGGCTTTCCCCCCTCCCCCATGCCCTGGAAATCTGATTTTTCTGAAATTCTGATATTTCAATAAAATGTCGGAATCAAAAAGGATTCTAGCGACTTCAGTTCGTAGAATAAATATTTGTCGATTAAATCAGACCTCTATAAGCACTGAGCGGTACTTTGATCAAAAGCTATGACAGTTTTATTAAGGGCCCTAAAAGATATATTATACAATAGCGCCACTATATCTCAATAGCGACGTGATAAACACTGTCGGAAAGATTTCTCCGTCAGATTAAGCGGTAGGGAGGTCGGATTGGCCTCAAACTGACGCTAAGGCATATGAGAACAAGATAAAAGAGCTCGATTTTTGATGTAGGCCGTTATTCTTTTATATTGTTGAAAGTTATACACCAGTCTTTGCGCTTTTTTCGCGCTTTTGCAGTAGAATCGTTAGGAAAATAAAAGAAAGAAAAAATTTAAAAACCTGGCTTTTTTATACATCGTTACTTTAACTTCATTTTATATTTTAAAACAAGCCTGAAATCTTCGGCTGCCCTTAATAATACGATTGATGACGTTTTCTAAATGAAAACTCCTTTATCTTACTTTATTTATACACCTTCAGAAAAGTAGAGAATCTCTGACTGAGTCAAGTTTTGGCTTGGCTGAACTTTTCTCTCTCCCCATTCGATCTATATTAGTCAAAAAAATATATGATTGGATCTAATCTAATCTTACACATAAACAAAGAAATAAACAATACTTGCTGTTTCTCTTTTCCTTTAAAAAACCAGCCGCATATTAAAACCAAACCATTGTTAAAAATGCATTTTCAGCTAAGGATCAGTGAATCGAAGATGAACGTTACTTGTAATAAATAAAACTTAGAAAAAGCCTACTAGAGCCATAAATACGACTATAAGGCTTTAAGTAATATGGCACTCTCCACGATTTCAGTACCAATACTTTTACTTTAATAATGTTTAGAAAAAGTAAAAACGTTTCAATATCCAAACGGTGTTCAGCTGTGAATGAGCTCTATTCTTATGTAACAAGTCGCATGAGAACTGTTTATGAAATAATTTATTTGTCTTCTGTCTTTCAGATTCATAGGTGTGTAATTCAATAACAAAACAGATGAAACATACCATTATTTTATTATTCAAGATTTATTTCGTATTGATAATAAATTTTAAGTTTACAGCAAGTGATATCTGTCATTGTAGCTGCTGTACTGGAAGTGAATGTGAACCGATTAAGCAACCAGGATTAACGGTTAATTCTTGCGATAATGATTGCACACTACCATTCTGTATTACTAAATATCCACAAACTTGTACTTCAGATGGAACATCACGAATAAATACTCCCTGTACTACAACTGCAATAAGAACCGGAGCAAGTAGGCAACAGATTTCTGGTAATAATTGCTAGCATCACGTCAAATGTAGTGTGAGCGTGCTAAATGTCAATTCGTTTTTTGCTTTGTATCTGGCTAAAGGCTGAATTTTATGGATTTTTGGTCGAGAAAGGGTCGTTGAGTACGATCTCAAATTCATCCTTGCCTGTTCCTGTAGCAGTTGGTTACGTGCTCCACTTCACAGTCGTAGTAGATCATCTGAGAAAATATAGGAATAAAGAACGCAAGTATAACTGAGTGCATGAGAAAATGAGGTATCCATACAAGGGGGAAAAAGCATACTTCTGTACTTCTGGTACTTCTCCGTACTTCTTGATACTTCTTCGTACTTCTCCGTACTTTTTTGTACTTCTCCGTACTTCTGAAGTACGAAGTACGAAATACGAAATCCCGTATTTCGTACTTCGTACTTCAGAAGTAC